CCTGCCTCATCCTGGCTGAATGAGGGCCGGAAGCGGGGCGGCCGGAAGCAGGGGGCGGGGCTTCGTCATGTGCCCCGCCCCCCGTACCTCACCGGGGGGAACTGCGATCCCCCGCGATCCCCCCCCCGAAATGACCTCTGCTCTCTAGGCTCCAGTACTATCCATAATCACCCAGGAATCCTGGTTCCACTTACTCTATGATCTCTAGTGCATTAAAAACTGGTCTATTCCCAAAGAACTGAAGAGTCTCACGGCCAGGTCCCCCTTCCCAATTTTGCTCTCATCCCAGGAAGACTGTGATCTAGATCTACCTCTCTCCATGAGGGTGTTGAAGAGTGAGGCGTTGGAGAAAAAGAAGAGGTATCCGAAGGTCTGCGAGACGAGGTCGGGATGCAGGTCACAATCGCGGGTCAGCTCAAGCGTAGCCTGGTAGATCGCGAGAGTCCCGCGGATCCCCTCTGGCATGTTGCTGAGCTCCGGCACGTGGGAGAAGTCAGTTGTGGCTGCAAAGGGATTACTGTCCAGCAATGCAGGAAGATTGGAATATAAAGTCTGCGGGGTAAGAACATATTATAAACGCAAACGGTGGCAAACGGCAGGCCAGAGGGTGAGGCAGGAGGAGAAGGTGGGATTCCAGTTATCATTGGGATGCCGCTCACCTTAGTGAGGTAGTACACAGACTGCTGGAACGTGGACATGATGACCTCATCCAAGACAGCCATTGCCTCATCGCATGTCTCCAGGTCACTGGAGAGCAAAGCATTGTGGGAAACTCCTGCAGGGACGAGAACAGAGAGAATCCAAAGGGATGTCTTCCTTTTGAATTGGTTTGACATTCATTCTTTCCCCACAGGAACCCCCGGGAACTTTTAGTTCTATAAGCTGAGCTAAGGATCGCTAGCAGAACAATCAACGCCTGCATCGAACTATGATCTTCAGGATTCTTGGGGAAAGCCACAACGGTGTAAAACTGACAAAGAATTGAAAATACTGTACAGATGTCCTTAGAGCAGTCTTCCATCCAGTCTTCTGCAGGAAACCCATAAGCTCTCTTGCTCTTCTGTCCTTCCCAGAAAACCAGGAATCCTAGCCCTTCCTCCACTTCCATTATCTTCTCGAGAAACCCAAAGAGTCTTTTTTCTGCGCTCCCTCCTAATGGCCTCCTGGCTCTACATCCTCCAGGGGGGCCCTGGAGAACTCCTGGAATTAAAACTGATCTCCAGATTACGGAGGTCATTTCAGTTCCGCTGGAGAAAAAGGGCTGCTATGGAGGGTGGATTCCATGTCATGAAACCCTCCTGAGTTCTCTCCCCTCCCCAAACACTTCCTCCCCAGGTGCCATCTCCAAATCTCCAGGAATTGTCCAGTCTGGAGTTGGCAACTCTATGGCCCAGTGCCCTTCCACCCTGCTGTGACCCTACAGAAGGCAGGAGGCCTGGGCTCACCCTCCAAGTCTAGGTCCTTTTCAATGTCCAAGACCCGCTTCTGCACCAGGTTGAGCAGCTCCATGGAGTTGGCCATCCAGAGCATCAGGGGGCGCAAGTCAGCAGCCACTTCCTCAATGCTGAGGTTGCCTCCCTCGCCTGAGTCTTGCTGGCTGTGAGGATCAGACAGAAGGAAGGAGGATTAGGGGGAGTGACAGGGGGGTGCTCCCACCTGCCCCCGAGAAGCAGCTGCCTCTCGGCTGGGGTGTAACAATGACAGCTGGGCGGGATATTTGGAATTCAATCCATTCCACACATTTTCAGAGTTCACGCGGAGTTCAGAGTTTCTCGACATTTGTGAACTTTGTTTCCAAAGGACGTCGGAGAATTGCTTCTCGCTTTCTTACTTGGGAATCTGCAGTTTGCCCAACATTGCACCCTACGGGGCATGAAGGGCTCTCTAATGTGCTTTGTGGGGAAATTACGACTTCTCAATATTTATGAGAACCTTTCAGGACCAGGGGTCATTTCGTAGAAAAAGAGCTAGGGGAACTCATTAGCATAACTCATTAGCATATGCCACACGCCCTGCCATCAGGGGCCCGGCGGTGGACCTGCAAGGCCAACAGGAGTGCGAGGAAGCCAAGTTTTCCCAACATTGCACCCTACGGGGCATGAAGGGCTCTCTAATGTGCTTTGTGGGGAAATTACAACTTCTCAATATTTATGAGAACCTTTCAGGACAATCCATTTTCAGTGCAGGGCAACCATTAACCATTTGCTGCTTGCAGTCTAGACATCTTCCCACAAGATGGAGGATATTCATTTTCCCAACCTTATTTCGTTATCTTTTACGCCAGAGACAAAATCCATGGTCAAGTTCACACCCGAAGCCGCGGGGCTGCATTTGACCTGCGGCTTCGCCCGATTTCCTCCGCAGTTTTGTGATCCTCAAAAACAGGATAACGAAACTGCAGGGGAAATCGGGCGAAGCCGCGAGTCAAAATGCAGCCCCGCGGCTTCGGGTGTGAAATTGACCATTAATATCGGGGCAAACGGTGGCGCAACATCGAGGCAGCTCTAGTGTGAAATCAGCCCATGTCTTCCCCCAAATAGTTGTGCACTCCTCCTCTCCAGTGCCAGAGCACAAATGTATCCTGTTATTTATTAATGTAAAAACAATGTGGCTAGGGGTCTCTTCTGGTCTGTCACAGAAAAGATGAAACACAATGGCTTGGGTCAGATATTATGCAAAACTATGGTATATTTTAACCAGTTAGTGTGGTCATCTGAATGTCGGCCTCTAGTGCGAAATCAGCCCATGTCTTCCCCCAAATAGTTGTGCACTCCTCCTCTCCAGTGCCAGAGCACAAATGTATCCTGTTATTTATTAATGTAAAAACAATGTGGCTAGGGGTCTCTTCTGGTCTGTCACAGAAAAGATGAAACACAATGGCTTGGTTCAGATATTATGCAAAACTATGGTATATTTTAACCAGTTAGTGTGGTCATCTGAATGTCGGCCACTCCACTAACTATGGTTAAAGGTAAAGGTTCCCTTGCTCGAAAGCCAGTCGAATCCAACTCTAGGGTTGCGGTGCTCATCTCCGTTTCAAAGCCGAAGAGCCAGCGCTCTCCGAAGACGTTTCCGTGGTCATGTGGCCGGCATGACTAAACACCAAGGTGCACGGAATGCTGTTACCTTCCCACCGAAGTGGTACCTATTTATCTACTGGCAATTCCTTGATTTCGAACTGCTAGGTTGGCAGGAGCTGGAACTAGAGACGGGAGCTTACTCCGTCATACGGCACCCGGGTCTCGAACTGCTGAACTACTGACCTTCCACAGCCTGCAGTTCAGCGTCTTAACCACTTGAGCCACCGCAGCTCCTAGTAACTATGGTTAGGGCACATCAAACTAAGATCTTACACCAAGGTTTGATTTCTTAACTATAGCTGGTCATTTGCGATCAGGGCCCTGTAGGACCTAGTACAGTTCTGCAGGGCTTGTAAGACGGAGCTGTTCCACCAGGCCTTTGGCAGAGGTGGCAGACGTTCAATCCATCCTGGGCCCACCCTGTCCTGTCCATGGCGCTGTTCATAACCTTCTTCCAGTGCCCTGCTGTCTTGGATATTACTTGGGCACTGGAATTTCTTGGGGTAATTATTCCATGAGGCATGGGTTCCGGTTTTATCTGCTTTTGCTATTTATTGTTTTAATTGTTTGTTGGCTTTATGTCGGGGTAGGGCAGGGTATAAATAAAATCAATTAATTACGATTTCATGTGACATGCAAACATGGACATCTTGGCTTAATTCCTGGTGCTGTCCCTCCCTGCCATCCAAGCTGGGATACCTGACGGGTCTCTACGGGGGGGAGGCAGGAGAACAACAGAAAGCAGCTCAACCAGCATTTCTGGAGACAGCCTACTAGGGTGTTATTGATTGTCTTTGAGCCAAATCCTGGTTTCACAAAATAACCATTGTTAAAATAAACCAGGGTGTCCTGTTATGTCTGAACTGAGTCAGTGGCTTACACAGTCCAGCCTTGGGGAGTGGAAGGGTGGAGTTAACCCATCCCAGAATGTCCTTCTTTCCTATAAGGATAATCTGTTACTCAGCATGCCATGTTCACCCACTGATATTTGTACAAAGCAGCATGACACAGTCAGTGAGATGCACGCATGTGACACCACAGTCATGGAAGGAGGAGTAGTAGTTGGTTTTATACCCTGCTCTTCACTGCCCGAAGGAGTCTCGGAGCAGCTTACAATCACCTTCCCTTCCTCTCCCCACAACAGACACCCTGTGAGGTAGGTAGGGCCGAGAGAGCTCTGAGAGAACGGTGACTGGCTCAGGGTCACCCAGCTGGTTTCATTTGGAGGAGTGGGGAAATCAAACCCCATTCTCCAGAATAGAGTCCACTACTCTTAGAAGAAGAAGAAGAGATTGGATTTATACCCCGCCCTTCACTCGGAGTCTCAGAGCAGCTTACAAACTCCTTTCCCTCCCCCTCCCCACAACAGACACCCTGTGAGGTGGGTGGGGCTGAGAGAACTCTGACACAAACTGCTCTTTCAGGAACAGCTGTGCCAGAGCTTGTGACTGACCCAAGGTCACATCAGCAGGTGCAAGTGGAGGAGTGGGGAATCAAACCCGGTTCTCCCGGATTAGAGTCCGCACACTTAACTGGCTCTCTACAAGAAGAGGAGGAGCCACAGTTATGATCTCATTGGTAGAGTGGGGGTTCTGCACCGCAAGCCTACGTGGCACATTGGAGGATGAAGTGGCGATGGTGGCAATGGCCATGTGGAGAGAGAAGGCGTGAAAGGGCTTCTGCAGGGAGGGTGGTCTCTGCACCAGCCCATGCTAGAAAGAAAAGCATCTCCACAGTTGTGTTGCCTTGCCTCAGAGTCCTGCTGGTCCTCTCCATGCACATGCAGAGAGGTGGGAGATGCTCCCTATGCATGGACACTAGCAGCAGGTCCTTCCAAAAGCTGCAAAGAAAATGGCAGCTGTCTGCGTGCTGCTCACCTGAGGCTTGAAGACCACCACATTATATCCACTTCATCCAAGAGAACCAAGCACCCCCGGGCTTGGAAAGCCTGAAACTTCAGTTCAAACTGCAAAAAGACTACACACACACACAGAGAGCCTGGACTCCAGGTACGACACTGACAGCCACCATTGGCCAATATGCTCTGTGGGTTTTGACAGGGGAATTGCTCTAGCCCACATCTGCACGGCAAACCCCCCAATATACCTGACATTGGCAATGAGGGTGGCAACAAGTTCAGTTTCACACCAGCAGTGCCAGTAAGGGCTTCCTTAGTACTGCGCCATTTTGGCAATCTAAAGGATTTCTCCACAGTTTGGCGGAAACAGTGCAGTTCTAAGCAGAACTGGTGGTGGAAAGTGACGGCAAGTCGCAGCAGACTTATGGCGACCTCTCATGGCGTTTGCAAGGCGAGAAGCATTCAGAGGTGGTTTGCCGTTTCCTCTGTGTAGCAACCCTAGACTTCCTGGGTGGTCTTCCATCCAAATACTAATCAGGGTTAACCCCGTTTAGTTTCCACGATCTATCTAGGTCAAGGCCAACAGAATTGCCGCCTTCTAAGCCTATTGACTTCAGGGTGTAACTCTGCTTAGGTAGGACCGAACTGTAAGTGATGTATATTCTAAATGATGGCATCTCCTCTTAGGGTTGCCAACCTCCAGGTAGTGGCTGGAGATCTCCCGCAATTTCAACTGATCTCCAGGTGACAGAGAACAGTTCAGCAAACAGGAGAAAATGGCCACTCTGGAAGGTGGACTCTATGGCACCATACCCCATGGAAGCCCTTCCCTTCCCCTCCCCTCACCAAGCCCGGCCCTCCTCAGGCTCCACCCCCAACATCTCCAGGTATTTCCCAACCTGGAGGTGGCAACCCTACTTATGATCCTGTGCTATGCAGAACAGCACCTCCTCCAAGGGCAAGTTTTAGACAACTTCAGCTCTCACTCACTTTTCTGGCTGCCGATCTCCAATCTCCTTTATCTTGTCCTAGAAAGGATATATCAAGGGGGGGGGGGGATATTAACTAGGTGAATTGGAACCAACACAGAGAAATCTTTACGTCCTTGCCAGACCTGGGCTACAGAAAAATAAGACTTGGAAGCGCTAATAAGGAAATCTGTTCACTCGTCTGCTGCCCGTGAGCAGAAGTGGGTGGGGCTGTTTTTGGCTTGGGGTGAGCCCTGCATTCCCCCTCCCCTTACTGTTGCACCAGCAAAGATACATCCACAGCCTCTGAACTGACTCCCACTTCTCTTTCCTTCCATGGTTCCGGTGGACTGTCTGCCCATTTTCTTTTTTCCCTTTAAGTTATTGGCCTGTTGACCTCATTGTATGTTTGCTTGCTGCATGTTAAAAGGTTGTTGTTGTTTTTTTTAAAAACATACTTTAAAAACTTTTTAAAAGGTGTACAGCTTTCTTCTTTTTTAAAAAAGGTGGGGTTTCAAACACTCTAAAAGCTGCTCATAGAGGGCTGGAAGTTGGACTAACTCATCAGCACTCTGCACAGCCAGGCTGAAAAGCTCAGATTGGCTTCACTGATGCCCCACCTGTGTCCCTGGTGGGGATCCCTAAGTGGCTGACATTCTTTCCCTCTCCTCCCTTCTACCCTCACAACAACCCTGTGAGCCAGCTCAGGCTGAAAGCATGTGACTGGTAACCCAGCAAGCTTCCTGGCAGAGTGGGTGATCTGAACCCCGTATCCTAGTCTGATACTCCAGCCACGGCACAAGCATCAGCCAATCAGTGTCGCGCAAATCTGGAATCCGCCCAAGACTAGGCCCTCCTGGGTCTGATCCAGGCAACCTTAGGTGGCAGTGAATACACTTCTGCAGGAGCTTCCAGAGCTGCCCTCTTCCCCTGGTGCGAATTTCAAACCCCATAACACAGAAACCTACATGGTTGAATCCGAGCAAATTAAGTACCTTTTAAAACAACCACTTTATCATTGGAATCTGCTTCTGTTGTGATTGTTACGGACAGGGGTCATTTCATAGAAAAAGAGGTGCAGGAGCTCATTAGCAAAACTCATTAGCATAACTCATTTGCATATGTCACACACCCTGACATCACCGGAAGTGTGTCAGAAGGCAACACCCACCGCTCAGGCGCCACTGGACTGCTTTGGATTTCTAGTTATTGGGGGGGGGGACGTACAGATCTGTCCTCACAGATGAGGGAGAGCTTGTACCTGAAGGTGGGCTGGGGGAGGCTGCTTCTTGCTCCTCATGGCCCGACTGAGGGCTGCTGGGAGCAGGGGGTGGGGCTTGTTGCATGTGCCAACCCCCTGAGCTCCTTACTGCCGGAGATCTGCTCCTGTGCGCTCCTGCAGGAAATGACCCCTGGTTACGGAAGTCGGTGGCAGTGAGGAGCAAAAGAAGGGGAAGGGGGTGCAGAAGCTTCTGAGCTTCCCTCCAGAACCCTAAGGGCTTGAATTCTGCTTCTTCTTCTTTTTTTGAAGAGAGAAAAGATGCTCAGAATACTGGATTCCAGCGCATGGCTGAATGTGAAATCCATACACTGTGTGCATACACATAGTCCTGCCTATGGGGCATCAACAAGCAGGCCTGTGGCTACAGTGGGGCGTCTCGGGGCTAGGCCCCCTGACTTACTGGTAAGGCCCCCTGACTTCCCTTCCGGCCCAGGGCCCCTAAGTGGGGGCCCCGAGCGGGGAAGGAGCCAGGCATTCCTTTATTTCAATTAGCCAGTGCCCCCTAAGAAATTTAAATGCCCCCAGACTAAAAAAGTACTGGCTACAGGCCTGTCCGCAAGGTCGTAGGGTTGCCAGCTCCATGCTGGGAACTTCCTGGAGATTTTGGGACGGAGCCTAGAGGGCAGAGTTTGGGGAGGGGAGGGAACTCTGCAGCGACGTGATGCTATGGAGTCCACCCCTCCTCCCTGAAGGGGAAATGGTCTCTGTAGTCCAGAGACCAGTTAGAATCGCAGGAGAACTCCGGGCCCCGCTTGGAGGCTGCTGGCAACCCTCGGTGTGAGAAGACAGTCCTAGGACAAAGGGAGGGTCTCCAAGCTGAAATGAAAAGAGCACGAAATGAATTGCAATGGTCATTTACCCAAACGGCCTCCTTGACCAGCTGAGCAATCCTGGCGATCAACCTGGGCAGGTGACCCGGTTCGAGCTCCCGAGCGGCGTGCTCCAGACAGAGCCCAAAGAGAAAGGCCGGGCCCAGCCGGCAGCCGGGGGCTTCCTGGAGCCGCACAATCTCAGCCAGGAGGGCCTCCTGCTCCTGGGGCCGGTAGCGCAGCTGAGGCTCTCTGCTCTTGAGGTAAGCCCGGAACGCCTCCTGCCGCTCCTGCAGGGACCGGCCACAGGCCTGGCACGCCAAAGCTCCCACCAACCCCGGGGAGACCCACGCCTTGGGCAGCCAGGCTGGCGGTGCAGGGGCTGCTCGCGGGTCCTTGTACATGAAGAGGAAATGCTGCCCCATCCCCAGCAAGTCTCCGGGGGCCAGCTCCACCTGGCGGTGGAGAGGGGCGCCGTTGTGGGTTATGGATGCCCCACGGAAGGGCCGCACCATAGCTGAGCCCCGGGGCTGGCTGGGGTCTGCCGGGGGCACTGAAGACACTACACAGCAGTGGCGTGGAAGGATGTCTGGGGCACTCAGGAACGTGTCCACGTAGCTGGACTGGTCTCCAGCTTGGCGGCGTTCTGGGCGTCCAAAAATGTGTCGGCGACGGGTCATCACGTGGATCACAAACTCCTGCAAGGAGGGGGGAAAAGGCCAACAGAGAAGCACCCAGGATCCCTAGGGACAACAGACATATTGGATCAGCTCCCTCTCTTATGGCCACCTACTCCTTTGTGAACCTACCCAACCACCATGGTCGTCTTGGGAGGCCCTGCTTCGCCTTCCGGGATTAGGTGAGTGGCAACCTGGGAGAGGAGTTTCTCAGCCATGGCACCAAAACTTTCTCCTCAGGGAGATTGTCCCCTTCTGCTGCCATCTTCCACCTTTGCCTCATAAAGACTGGGAAGAGATATTTTAGGGCTCTTATCGAGAGGTAGCTGACTTATTTTTATTTATTTCAAAACATTTTATGAGGCGACCTTTCCACCCCACCATTGTTATTATCCGTTTTAAATGTTACAGCTATATTGTACGTCACATTTCCCGAATTGGGCCTTAGATTATGGCTTGAAAAGTCCTCACAATGGGCCGGGGACAGACAGGGAGGACTTTTCTACAAACCTGAGGGAAGCCCCAGGTTTTCAGGAAAAAATGTGAAATATAACAAACAATCACTGAAGGGCAACCCCCTTCCAAAAAGACACAAATAGAAAACAATAGAAGCAACATCTGTAGTTTTAAGAGAGGAATGCTCACTGGGATCATGTGAGACCAAGATCTCAGTGGCCATTTTCAGGGTTTCTAGGCAACCACCACAGTATTACTGAGCCTTCCAAGCCTTGGTTTCTGTCAATCAAATGGGAGGAGCGAGGGGAGCAATGTAGAGCTGTCTAACTTTCAATTTTCCCTACCTGTTTTTCATTGTAGCCCAACAACTGCAGAAAATAGGGGTGCTCAGTTGGCGGTTGTATGAGGCACTGAGAGAGCTGTTCTAAATTGGACGAATCCACAGTGGTCTCTTCAGAGGCTGCAGCCAACAGGCCCTCGGCACCCTCAGCAACCTTGACCCGTGGTTCCTCAGCTGGGCCTCCTTCAGCAGGTTCACCGGCTGCCATGCTGAGCACATTTTTGCGTTCCCTGCGGCGTTTAGTGCTGAGATTCATCTCACTGATGCTGCGCCGGAGTGAGAGGTTGTCTGCCCTCTCCTTGGGGGCCACATTGCCTCCTGAAGCGGCACGAGAACGGCGAGATTGCTGCCGGCGGGTCTGGGAGTTGATTCCTGCAAGGGAGGAGGAGTTGGAAAACAAGATGGATGTCGAGTCGACTCTGCTTAGGAATGGTAAACTGCTGCTGTTGAAGAGGCAGACTCAAAAGTAGAGTTATTTTATACCAAAATCCTGTCAAACCCCCCCCCCCCAAAAAAAACCTGACTTATAAGCAGCAATGCATAATAGGGAGAAATTGGATACAGTTCAATAAATCTTTGTTTGCTCTTTAGGAGGATTTAGCACGCCAGAAGCCAAGAAATGAAAGGCATATATAGAAAGATGATTGAAAACAGGGAGTTGCCCATCCACAAAGGCACGGCTGATGAGGGCATACCCAGACTAAGATCCTGACAATGAGCAATAAGATCTGCACAAATCCTGTAATCACAAAATTTCAATCTAGGGAATGAATGGTTGCAAACACAGATGCAATCCGTTCCACCCGATATCCATAACCTGATATACCCCAACAAGAGAGGCCCGCAGGATTTGACTTCCCACGTAAAGTATGGAAGATGGCTAATAGAATATGAACAGGTTTTGGCAGTTGTGCAGACCTGTTGTTTAAATGGGACAAATTGCCAGGACTCGAATGCGACTGTGGTGCAACCCGCCAAACTATTTTCCATCCGTCACAGGAATGTGAGCATCGTGCTTTCCAGGGAGATGTGACAGAGCTCTCCCCAGCTGCAACTGAGTGGACTGAAAATTTAGATATTAGCATTTAGAGGGATTGCCCAATCAATTCTGCATACCCGTTGTATCAATTTGGTTACATGTTTTATATTATTATATGCTTCCTGTAGCTCTGCCATATGTTAAATAAATAAATAGGAAAGGCATAATGGGCTACACCCAAATTGTGCTGCTGCTTTTGTTACACCTGTCAGAGGAGGAGTTGTCATCCTCCTAGGAATTCCGTTGACCCTGACTGTCAACCATAGGCCAACCAACCCTGGATGTATTTGTAACAGGGGACAATTGGTGTGCCAGAATTTCATAATAAGGAACACTGCAGAGCTGGCATGTTTAGTGGAACGGAGGATGGAGTGAAGAACTTACATAATCATTTCTTATGTTTTTAACCTTCACAGAATACCCTACTGTGCCTATGAATGCAACAGTTGTCTTACTGGATCAGATCAAAGGTGGATTGACTCCAATATGTTGTGTGGTCAGACAGGCGTCCTTGGGAAGGCCTCAAGCCGAGTGTGATGGAGCTGTCCCCTCCTGTTTGCTCTCAGTGTCTAGTACCCTTGCCTCTCGACACTGACCTTCCGTTTTCAGCTCACATGGCAAACAGCCATCGACAGACTTTTCCTCCATAAAGGTACCTAATTCTTATGAAAGCTGTGCAAATCTTAAGGGCTCTCATCACTTCATCTTATGCAAAGGAATTCCACAATCGAATTGTGCACTGTGTGACGATCCGTTGCCAATCATCAGCTTCTTTGCACTTTAGGGCTGCCATTAGCCAATGAAAGGGTTAGATGAATTGGTTTTAAATATTTTAATTGATTAAATTGTTATCATTATTTATTTAATTTATATCCCACTCTATCCCACAAGTTGCCTCAGGGTGGCTTACAACATAAAATCCACAAAACAATAAAAACAATAGATAGCACAATAGACAATAACAACAAAAAAATCCCATGCCTCATATCAGGTGGATATAGGCAGGGCTCTTTTTGTAGAAAAAGCCCAGCAGGAACTCATTAGCATAATAGGCCACACCCCTAACAGCACAGCTTATTACCACTTCAGGCCGCACCCACATGTTACCAGAAGTGTGGTTATCCAGCCACACCCACCTTTTGCTTGTTATTCTGTTTACCTTGTTTGTTGTCAAAACCCAGGTCCTTTTTTTGTAGCAGGAACTCCTTTGCATGTTAGGCCACACAACCCTAATGTAGCCAATCCTAATGAGTTTCTGCTGTTGGGTGTGGCCCATTATGCTAATGTGTTCCTGCTGGGCGTGGTCAACTTGGGAGCCAGCCGGTGCGTTCCTGCCCAAAAATAGCCCTGGATATAGGTAGATCAGGTGGATATAGATAAAAAAGGGCCATGATTAATTGGGTGATGGATGGATGTTTAAAAGCATTAATTATTTTTAATACAACAACTAGAGGTTGCCAGTATTATCTTAGGAGAGGCCTGCCTCCTCCTTTCACATACATGTGGATTGCTTCTTCTATCGGACTGTTATGGCATGCATGAGGATCATATAACAATAATGGCCCTTTCCTTCAAGAATATATGCAAATTTAGATACATTGAATTAATCAAGTAAAATTCACATCAATCAACTCTAATCAGGCGATGGACCAAGCAACCACCAAGCTTTTGAGTTCTTCTTCACAGTCGTGAGGGCTGGGAACTTATTTTTCAATTAGACAAAAGAGCTTCTAGAGAATTTGTAGAGCTCAAGAAATTCGGAAAACCAGATCCGGCACTGCAGGGAAAGGCTGCTAGAGCAAATTCCTCTGGCAATTCCCGGGAAGTTCTGCCCACTGCTCGATACCCTTCACTCACCAGAACCATCATCATCCTCGCCTTCTGCCATCCTCTCCACGTCGCAGCGCCTGCGGATCTCAAAACGGCGAGTGCAGCCGGTCTTGGGCTTCCACACATCCTGCAGCACAAGCGGACGTTCGGAGTCGCCCACCGCCCGAAGATACTGGGCCTGCCAGGAGCTGTCTGGGCCATGAACGCTGCCCACCACATCACACAACACATAGGCATCCTCTGCATTGGGCTGTGTCACACCATAGCGTTCCAGCGCTTCGATCACCAGCTGCCGAGCAGTGGAGCGCACGGTTGCCAGCACGCTCTTATAATTAGCACCCGTGGAGATGTCCCCTCCGTAGATTTTCAGGACTCCTGGCACTTCCCCCTGCGATGGGGGCTGGACTCGGTCTTCAGGCAGCGGGTCAATGAAGTTGGCCAGTTTCTTCTCACTGGCCCAGCGTCCTCCACCCCCGCCAGTTGGCCCTCCAGTTACACCCCGCTGGAAGAGTGTTGAGAGCCTCTTGTGTCGACTGGCCTTGTTCTTGGTGGCTGGGCGCATCTCCACAGGCTCACTGCCACGGCTGGTGGTATCTGAGGACGTAGACCTGCAAATAGGATAGAGCGTCTGGAAGAGGCAGCAGGGAAGATACCAGCAGCTAGACTGCCAGGTTCAGACGTGGGAGGCCTATGGCCAAATATCTGCTCTGCCAGTAAGCCACGAGCCACGGCCTCTCAGCTTAATCCACTTTACAGAAATCCCAGGAAGATAAAATGAAACAAGGAACATTGTGATTATAAACAGAGGCCCACCATACATGGGAATGCCTATGGAAATGTGGCCTATGGGTAGGTAAGTCCCGCCATAATCAGCAGTCCTGTTTGCCCTTCTTGTTTAATCAAAATGTTAATCAAAACCTCTTGTCTCCCTGCATTCTGCATTGCCTGCTCAGATGTGTCCCAAAGCAATTTCATTAGCACCGGTCTCACACTTCGGTTTGGCATAATAAATATCCTATATGCTTTCTGGTTGCGTAGGTTTCCTATTAACCCCTGGGAGGGGTGTTTTAGTAAGAACCAATCGTCAAATGCCAGTGGCTCAGAGTACGTGGTTCCCAGAGTGCTGCAGAACCAGGCAATAACCACTGCACATTTGTGCCGCTTGGTCGGAGGCAAAGGCCTGCTAGGGGCTGTACCCTTTTTTTAACTGCCAGCAGGGCTCTTTTTGTAGAAAAAGCCCAGCAGGAACTCATTAGCATAATAGGCCACACCCAACAGCAAACCACTGCACATTTGTGCCGCTTGGTCGGAGGCAAAGGCCTGCTAGGGGCTGTACCCTTTTTTTAACTGCCAGCAAAGCTCTTTTTGTAGAAAAAGCCCAGCAGGAACTCATTAGCATAATAGGCCACACCCAACAGCAGGAACTCATTCGCATATTGGGCCACACCCCTGACAGCACAGCTCATTAGCACATTAGCCTGCACCCACATGTTACCAGACGTGTGGTTATCCAGCCACACCCACCTTTTGCTTGTTATTCTGTTTACCTTGTTTGTTGTCAAAACCCAGGGCCTTTTTTTGTAGCAGGAACTCCTTTGCATGTTAGGCCACACACCCCGAATGTAGCCAATCCTAATGAATTTCTGCTGTT